CTTTTGTCATTACTAGGTAAAACGTAATTTTAACCCTCTACCTCCCTTTTTTCTCTGCTGCTCTCTGTATGATGTGTGTCCACTGTCTTACCTGTGGCAGTGTGTGCGTAAAAGAGTAGATTCGGGGCTGAGACTGGTGGTCTGTGTGTTGCTCCAGGCCCCTCGTGGCTTTTATATGCTGGCGCCCAGAGAGAGGGGATTATGGACACAGAAACAAACTCGCTGAGCTCACAGCCCCCACAGAATAGAAATACCCCAATCATCAAAGAGAGAGGGAGACACAGAGGGGACAGAAAGAGAGGCAGAGAGGTGTAGGTTTGAAAAATACGAGAAAAGGTGACAAACTGAAAAATCAATGTGGTTTGCCTCGGTGGACTTGATGGAAGACTGATAACTTCAATAAAACAATAGTGAGTTGTCACATCCAAAGCCCGTACACCAATAGTAGTTCCACAACAACAACGCCTGACCAGGTTATCATTTAAGAGCCTGTCACAAAGTTATTCATTCCAGGACTGTAATTTGAGAGGCGCTGGGACAAACAATAAAAGGAAAAGCAATAAGCTGTGAGAAGCAATAACCTCGCTCCGTTTGGGAAAGAGGTTCAGGTGTACAATAATCTGAATGTCTCTCTCAGCATTGTAGGAGAAGGCTATTAAATTAAAGCAAGCCTTTTTCATGCGGTGGGCGTTCATCCGCAAGGTGATTATTCTCAAGTGCACAAGAGGGAACAAGCAACCCTAAGGTCCAATGTATCTCCAAATTTAGAGGGGAGGTCACATGTGCTGCTGAGGACAGGAGGGAAATCAAGGCTGCAGCCCTTCGCCAGACAAGAACCTGAAAGAAAAGCTACTTGTGTCTTGGATTCAGAGGCTGGCCTCATTAATCAGTGCATAATATTAGTATGTCCTTACATCCTCCAGCTCAATTTAGGATGAGGGAATGGTCAATTGGGAACTGATTGAAGGCCTGGATCACACGTCCCTCTCATTGAGGATTGTACGTCCTAAGAGAACGAATAAAAAAAGGGGAAGTATCATCTGTCCTTGTTCTCCATCCTCTCCACAAGACAGAAGGGGGCGCTTCCCTTTTGACTTGATTCTTAAGTATTTAATTATCAAGGGGTTGACTAATCACTATAGAGCTGAAAAGAGGTGTTACAGCACAGGCAGTATGAGAAATAAAAAGCACTTTTTGAACATTAAAGCATAGAAACATGTCAAAATACAAATATTAACCGTAAATTAGCATAATAAGGCCAATTTTAAAAATGACATTCAGTAACTAACAAACAATAGAAACAAAGGAATGTGTATAATAATAATAATAATAATAATAATAATAGATGACATTTGTATAGCGCCTTTCAAGAGACCCAAGGCCACTTTACATGGTGAACAAACAAACAAACAAAAGGGGCAAATAATAAAGTAAAAAATTAAAGAAATTGCAGTATCCCTGTAAGCATCATTGTAATTAGTTCATTAATAAACTTTTGGAAGATAATTAACAAATCACACATTTTTACAATGCAGCAAAGGAATTTAGTTTTGTAATGCACGGTAGGGGTCCAAAAATGTTCCCATTTATACGTGGCGCAGGTGGAAACATCGCCTTCATCATTTACACTATGATCCAGCTTCTTATAAAGAGATCATTCATTCTTAGCTGGAGCTATAAAATGCAGCACCTAATCTGATAGAATAGATTAACTAAACCAGAAACACTCTTCAGAAAGCCCTTTGATCAATATCCTGAGTGTGGCTGAAGTTTGTGAAATTTAACTTCAAAGTCTAATCAATTCCATGTCCTGCAGAGGCACCACTGAGGCTTTCACATATACTACATAACAGGGAATATGTCCATTCACTAAGTGGGACCCACGTAATTCATAAGAAAGTAAATATGACGTCAACCCAGCTCTCTAAAGTTGATTGGAGCATCTCATTAGATATGGATTTTGAGAGATCATCAAGGGGGAACCCTCATCTACAATGACTTCCAGTTGATTACATAAACATAGAAAGGGAAAAGCAAAACATCAACAAAAAAATGAAAAACATTTAAACAAGAATTTTGAAATAAGTGCAAATCATTTGTTGGATAAATTAAAATATAAAAAGTTGACAAGAGATTTGCATGCACTTCCTGAAAAATGCAAGCTTGAATAATGATGTGTCTTATTATTATTCTGACCAGCAGCAAATTGATGCTTAAGCTCTCAGCTTTACATAAATGAGTTTTAATGTACACACATTGTTTGTTTATTTCCAACAAGAATCAGAAAAACATGAAGACTTTACAAAATCTTTATGTCCTGTTCCTTTTGATAGTATAAAACTGAAATGTCTCCCGAAAAAAATTGAGATGCTTTTACATAGCAAAACATGTTATACTTTATTTTCTTTCTTTGTCTTTCATCCTCAGTAAATAGTTGTGTGGAACCAAAACCGGCACATGAAATATGCATTCTGATATTATGGATTAATGTTGGCGCAGATAGTTTGAAGGGCAGTGACTTTAGAAACTCTGTTGGGAAATGATGCTGGTCGTGACTTTGGCGAGTGTGTGTCTGCTTGACAATGAGCATGGCTCTCTGGGTGATATGTCAAGGACCAGATGAGGCTGGGAGAGATGTCGCTGTGGCAACTGTATCCCAAATGTGAGAAGTGATGGACTTGGTGGTTTTACATGAAAACAACATCAGTGCAAAAATATTCTGAGGTTGTGACAGACTGACAGTATTTCAACACAAAGTTTAATTTTTTAGGGCTTTTTTTCCTGAACAAAGATATTCTCCTAAACCACTTTTCTATGTATGTATTTTATTAATACCCAACGTTACAAAGTGGTGCAGGAATGAGTCCTTAGACCTGGTTATGAGTTACTTATGTTTGAACATGTTTCTTAGGTGACTGAAATTGGATATGTGATTAACACAAGTTTAAGGAATTATCACGTTTGATTTTTTGACATAACAAATAGGCTACAATTAAATGTCAGTAAATATTCCAATATTTAATGTCTGAAGCTTCTATGTGTCTTTAACACGGCAGTTGCGAATAAGTGACCAAATGGGACTACTAAACATCATTACGCCGAACATTAGCCGCAGTTAACTTAGCGGTGGTTAAAGGTGGGGTAGGTAATTTTGGAGAAACCAGCTCGAGTGCGCTACAATTTCAAAATACACAGCCGGAAAAATATGCCACTTCCTTACAGAGCCCCTCCTCCAACACACACGAACGCGCACATGACCAATGAGAGCACGAGATAAGTTTGTGCACAGATGGAAGGCTGACAGGCAGGTAGGCCATCCAGTTATTTTAGCCGGGCCGGCTAAAATGATTGGTCGTGTTTTTTACAGTACTACGGCTTCCACAGATGACATTTTTTATGGATTTTTTGTCAAAAAACTTAAGATATTCATTGCTATCGGGATGTTAAGAGCATTCCATGGAATATAACAAAAAGTGTATCTCGAGCCGGTTTCTCAAACGTACCTACCCCACCTTTAAGTGCCGCCATGTGATTATGATGTAGTTCCTTTATAGCCTAACATTAGCTTTTTACTTCTGGGGATTGCATATAGGCTTAAAACATCTTAAAAGTTGTGGAAATATGTGGAAATTATCCTGCTGAACAAAACGTGAAAGTATCATAAACGTGTGTTAACCATAGGTCTAATTCTCCACCATATTCCAATATAAAATCCCATTGCTTTTTCTCTCAAAGGAGCCCTTGTGATGCTAACTGCTCTGTCATACTACTGTACATCATCACTGCACCACTCTATTCATTTTTTAAATATTATTAATTAATAGTATTTCACTTTAATTGAGCCTCTGTGTAAATCACCTCAACTTTAGAGTAGCTCCATTGAAACAAGCTCTCCAAATCCTTCTCATTCTCTGCCTATAGTCCCGGACTCCCCGCCATTGTTGCTCTATACGAAGGCACTGCTGACCTATACGAATAGAGCAACAACAGGCCGCATTCCCCAGCTTCACCTCTGTGCCTGTTCTATAGCCCGCAAACTGCTGAGTCTGCAGGCCACATAGAGTTACAAAGAGAGAGAGAGAGAGAGAGAGAGAGAGAGAGAGAGAGAGAGAGAGAGAGAGAGAGGGGTGAGCGGCAGAGTCACCGACGCACGCGCACAAACACGAACACATGGGAGGTTCAAGCTCACCTGAGTAAAGTTCGCTACAGTATACATAGGAATACATAAACTCTCTTTCCACTAGCCTTCAAAATAAAAGCCTAAATAGTTCTGATAACTTTCATCTAAAGCATTTATTTGTAAGCATGTTTTTATATTTAAACTGATATTTATTGAAGTATAAATATTTCCCCATATGTATTAATTATATATTATGTAGTATATGGCACATATTCTCACATTTATTTATTTTATCTATTTATTGACCTATGCTTATATTTTTATTCTGCAATGTGAACAAATGCAACGAAACCCAATGTCCTCTTTGGAAACTACAATGTGTTACTGATTCTGATGAAAAGTGAGTACTCACTATGTGTATTGATAACAATCAATGAATTGTCATGTCTATAACCTTATTACAAGCTGTTTATTACTGTAGTAATATTGTTAAATATTAGTGACAAGCCAAACATATGACATAGATAACATAAAATGGCTTAATTATTAAATTATCCAAAAAGCCGCTGATGAATGTTATGTTTATGCCTAAAACTCTCGAACAAGATCCCACTATCTGGAAGAAAATATTTTTCATTTGTATTCTCTGTATATCTTCAAATAATCATTGTAACACTGTACAGGGGTTACATTGTACAATAGAGATGTATTTTGAAAGCCCTGACCGGAAGTGTGATCCTGAATTCAGGCCAACCTCACACACACTCGCACATCGTTGGCGTGTATGGGGCAACACGCGCACATGCGCGAGAACGAGGTTCCCCGCGTGGACGCTGGTATATAACGGGCGCGCCAGGTTCACACAGAGTCTACGTAAATAAGATTTGGAGTATGAGGAGCGCGATGAGAGCATCAGGTAAGCAGTAGCGGGAAAATAAATGTTCACAGAAGTTTCCCACGGGATGGACTTTACTGTTTTTGCGGATTAAATGTTTGTTTTGACTTCTCTTAACAAAGACATTTTAGTTTCTTCATTAGAAACATGTTGGCTGCATGACACGTTCAATGAAAAAATAATTATTAACTATTAGGACATATTTAAATGCACTCAAAGTTTACCTTTAAGGAAAAATGATTCTGTTGATATCCAATAAATCTAATGTTGCTCATACATTTGACTATGGATATGATTTCTCTTATAAATGTACTTTTTTTTTTCCTTTTCCAATTTAGAGATGAATAGATTTACCAGAACCCACATGACCTCTCCCATGTTTTTCCAAAGCATGGGCACAGCCCCTTACTTTAAGGTAAATATACACACACCACACACACTACACACACCACACATAAACACTCATGCCTGTCTTCCCCTGTGTACAGGTGACTGTGTTTGAGCGGGAGCATTTCCGGGGAAAGTGTATAGAGTTCACCTCCGAGTGCTGCAACATCCACAACTGCGGCCTGGACAACATTCGCTCCATCAGAGTGGAGAGTGGAGCGTGAGTCACAGCCTGTACGCCCGCATGTCTCTGTGGACAGCTGACTGACGTGTGTGTGTGTGTGTGTGTGTGTGTGTGTGTGTGTGTGTGTGTGTGTGTGTGTGTGTGTGTGTGTGTGTGTGTGTGTGTGTGTGTGTGTGTGTGTGTGTGTGTATGTAAGTGTGTGTCTGTGAGGCAGGGAGATAATGAGAGAGGAAGTTTCCAGGCTCGCACGAAAGGCGTATGACCTCTGAGGTCCTTCTTTTCTACGTGTATGCAGCACCCAGCGTTATCAGTGATGGAGAGGTCAGGTGTTTCTCCAACTGCTGCCTTTTTCAGATGAAATACTGAGAAAGAGTTTCGCCTAATAGTTAGGGAAAGTTAGGTATTTTTTTAGCCATATCGTGAAATAATTTATT